CAGAATCAGTGTATTTAAGCTTTAGGTCTCCGACGAGAGAGTATTTATAATAGTCCTTATAAATATCCTGATGTAGGAACATAATTTCATTCTATTATAAATTTGTACGATAATACGCTACGACATTTTAACTCGCTAAATCTGAATCATTGAATAATCACTGATTACCCAACGACATACTTAGCGACTTACTTGATAATCAGTAAAATTCAACTAAAAAAATTCTTTGTCTAATGTCATAAAAAATTGAGCATGTAATTAAAATACTGATATTTATACGTTAGTTTCAATTTTCCAATACCATATATATTGAATTTATACACTAAAGCAAGGTTAGCTAGATTAGGAATTCCACACATTTCATTCACTATTAATCGATGGCATGCTTAGGATGACATTAGAATTAGATGTGAGTGATTCAGATTTAGAGAGAGAATATTTGTAAACTAATATATATTTAATTATATCACTATTTCACTACTAGAATATAACTATTTTATTACTGTTTTATATAACTTCGTAGTTACGAAACGTCATAATAAATAATTACAGCTATGACGATTGTACCAGTGCGCCAAGATGTGCGTCGAGTTTTTTTACGCGAAAGTTTACAACAGAAATTTCGGAATTCACGGTTCCACGGTATCCGCGATGAAATAAGATTAAACGCGGCGGCGAGGAAAAGTCGAGCCGCAAGAAGCGCACCGGCAGCCAAGATTCGCCGCAGCGCGATGTAATATAAACGTCGTAAAATAGGGACCAGGTGAATCGTATAATTCGGCGGGGGACCCGACTTCAGAGTAATTCTCACCCGTATACACCGACGTTCCTCTCGGCGTTGCCCCGTATATGTTACCACGAGCCACCACGTACGACAACCGCATTGCCACACGTGCTGCTCATATCGCTACCAAATATAAAGGGGGAGACCGGAAAGGACGAACTTGGCGCTATATAGGAAGAGAACACAGTCACATCCGATCCCTACTCGTTTGGCTCTGTTTTCTTTCATCTTCAAGATATCACGAAAAAAAAAGAAACTATTCTCCAAATATGTTAGACAGTTAAGAGGCTATGAATGTCTGCTACTAAAATAGTACATCGTTTAACCTTTCTGTATACACCTCTCACGATATGCGGTTCATTTCCGTAGAAAAACTTCCTTCTTGAAGTTTGTATTATTAAAATCAATTATTAATGCCGCTAAGATTTATACAATGTATAAGTCTAAAAATTAAAAAGAGGTTTTTTTGAGCTCATATAAAAAATTAACGAGAGTAAATAAGAATTAATGACTCTAGCAGGTTCTTTGTTCTAATGAAAATTGTATGTTAAATATATTAAAAAACTATAAATCGATATCTATCACATTAAGTCTTATCACAAAGTCACAGACTTTCGACGTTGATGTTTTGTATATTATATACAATTTTGATATTTCAATATTAATACATTATTTAAAATAATTTTGAAAATTAAAAGCTTTGGCTACAATATTAAATTAAGATGCTACATAGCGTATACTAATATAAGACAAAAGAGAGAAAGAAATAAAAAAGCAAAGACCATTGAACGCTTAAAAAAGAATCCATTTATTTTAATGTTGGAAGAAGAACTTAGTCCTTTTTCTCTTTCGTGGTTACGAAGTAAATTTCATCTCCTTTACAAGCGGTAATCCACTACTGCGAAGTAGTACAACTTTATGGAAGAAAATAGTCGACGTTAGAAGGTTCCTCGCTTTCAAGGTTCTTCAGAAAAATTTATGTTCTCAAAGCCCTCGAAATAAACATCCAGTAGTCGAGTGCGATAGCTAGGAACCAAAAACCCATTGACCGCGTTTGTATATACGTAAACGTCACGACCTATGATGCTACTTAGTCTACAGCATGGTCAGGTCCACCTGCATATCTTTTTTACAAACATCATCTATTCAAACCTGACAGACTTTTTTCTTCATCCGATAGAATCAAACTGTTCTTATCTATTATACAAAAATAAATATGTCATAAACATATTAAAAATTAAGTATATCATAAATATATGAAATGTAACGTAATAAAAATGACAAAGCAAAAGATTGTCTAGGCAACTTGTATCATTAATACGTGTCAAATTAATTTCTATATAAAAATAATTCAAATAATTACATATTGAAAAGGTCAAAGAGTTTGTCAGTCAATGATTCGCATATGGTGATACATCGATGGAATGAGGGTAAGGAAAAAGAAAGAATCTCATAGCCCGCGTCTAAAACAGTATTTCATAGATATAGCCGATGAAGCCTCCTTGTGGCCAGCAAATATAATAAACTTGGGGTCCATATATCCACGCTTATGGTGGCTGATGGCAGATCCCAAGGAAAAGGAACGTCTCGGTGCGTGTCCGCAAGGAAAAGGGGGGAGAATACCCCGGCTATCGTCATATTTTCTGATTTTCCGCCAATAAACCCCATTACTATTTATCAGGCTAATGCGTCCTTATAACTCCCATTAACAACAATCTATACGCTCTAACGCATTAGCGGGGCCTGGTACCCGCACCATCGCCAAATTTATTATTAGACGTGGAAGAACCGTTACGCTTAATTGCATGTAGGTTTGTTCTCGAACTTTCAGTGGTCGAAAGTCATACAGACCCTCCGGAGAAATTATATCGATATTATAAGGTCGTGCTATTCTCCCCAGCCAGAGGAAATAGAAAGCGAGATTAAACATGTGATATTAACTATTTGATACTCAGAGAGAATAAGATATTTGTTAATGTTGAAAATTGAGGTAAAAATAAATTCAATAAATAATTAAACGGTCAAGAAGGAATTATTGTGTTAACTATATTGATATAATTATTAAATTAAATGTAATATAATAATTGATATGACCATTACACGTAAGTTATAAAGACAATATTCTTCTCTCGATATTTTTATAATTAATAATAAAATTAGGATTTCCATCAGTTATTTTGAGAAACTGCGAATACAGAGAAAAACTTGTATATAGTTGCAAAGTAATCATTCAAAGTTCTCAACAATTCAGCAAATATGTTGTAGCGTAGTGTCCATTTCCATTAAAATAAACGAAACAAGAGTCATCTCGTAGTCCAAGAAACCACCCTTAGCTTCGTGTCGCATAATTAAATGTCAAGATCTAAATTTATCGTTCCGTAAGAGAAGATACTTTCGGAAATTACTCAGCTTACGGGTAACTGTAAAGTCTCGCCTGTACGAGATCACTATTATGTATGAATCTCCCGTTCTCTAATCGGGATGTTAAATTTTCATAAAAGTTACTACTCGCCTTTTAATCTGTCTTAATCAGAAAGGATAATAATTTTAATACATAACAAAAAAAATGTATGCGCTCGTTTTAAATATACTTCCAGCATTAAAACATTCACTCCTTACGCGCTATTTTTCCAGTCGCCACTCAATCACCGCGATTTATTCGTGATTTATTCACGCAAATTCTATCGTTCTCTCGCCGTGAAGAGGAATTAAACGACGGAGGCGACGTGAAAACTCGTTCGATGAGAGCAATATCGTCCGTTATTGGTAGGCACCAGCGTTAACGCCGGCGACCGAACGGGGAACGAAAATGAGAGGAGAGAGGAGAAAAAAAGCAGCGTGAAAGAGGCGAGAGATAATTAACGAGAAGCGAGTACACAATATCTTTTCCCAAACGGCTCGACGCGAACTGCACACTTGTTGCTTATCTGCACTTCGGCGTAGACATGTCGGTAACGGGTTAGGATAACATGTTTAACACGGCAGATAGCTACTTATCAGTCGCTCTCTCTGTTTGTCGTGCACCATAAAGTTATAAAGTCCAGACGATGCGCTGTCAAGGTGTACTATAAATTACGAACCTCGTGTCGTTTATGAAAAAAAGAGGGAGAGAGAGAGAGAGAAAAACAAAAAGAAAAAAAAAGGCATAAGGAACGTGCGTACTCTCTGCACGCCCGGTCGTCTTATCGGCACGATAAACACCGACGACGGATTCACTTCCAACGGGCTTTGAGTTCGCGCGTAATTACTTAATCGCGGGGAAATTACAAGGGGAACGCATAACGGCTCGACTATATAACACGTAGAATTATTTAGCGCTGTATATTACTGTATATACAAGGTGTCTCCAGGATCTCGTTACTTTATCAACTCTATCAATGATTTCTTTCCTGACCCCGATTTCAGACTGACTTTTCTCAAGCAGTGAACGTAATTTAGAATGCAACTAAAATATTGATTTGTCAAGAACTCATAAAACTCAACTTTATATCTGCATTTTAAATAACAACACCTTTTAATACGCTAATATTGAAGCGACAAATACGTTACTATAGTCATAATTCGACAGTTATTTCGGTGGGATAAGTAATTTCCCGGATTTTCGAGGATCCCCATCACGGAGGATGAGGCTAACTACCCTTTGTCTTCCGCGTTATAGAAGTACAGCGGCAACGAGTGGCCATTTTAACCCCTTTTCCTCGCGAGACATAAATAATGATCGTCGCTAATTTGGCTCCGGTGCAGCCCTTGGCCGGTAGCGAACGTAAACCGCGCAATTATAATGCCGCCACATTAGAATTTATTCCCACGGCAGCCGGCAGCCTCTCCTCCGTAACCTTTTTCTAAAGCTTACGTACTTAATCCGGTTGAAATATTTTTTCCCGTGGCTTCGCCGTCGGATATCGGCCTCGGATTTTCGTCGGAACTTAAACCATTTAATTAAGTCAGGACAACCGGATAGTACGTCCTTCGCTGCGGAGGCAAAAGAAAAAGGAGTCGAACAAGAACAAAGCAAGAATTATTTAAAAGGACTAGAGAACTACTCTCCCCGCTGTTTTTTTAATCAATGACAAATCGCTAATAAGTAATCCTTTTTAACTGTAAAAATCTTTCTTTTGCAAAAAAAAAAAAAAAATAATTTTATTCAAAATTCCAAAGATACGGAAAATTAAATCATCACATAATAATTATAATTACTGCTTAAAATGGTTCTTAC